CTAAGACTTACTATTTAAAGCATAGAAGCAAATAAGAGTTTTATAATAATGTTTCCGATATACAGTAATGCTATCATGTATACTGTGGAGCGTGTGTGAAGTTACTTAATAAACATATCAATTTTTTCTTTGTGTCCTTAGCTCATTTAAAAATTTCTTAACAAATTTGTTTATTAATATAACATTTTTTTAGCTAAGATGGGGTCCTGATATGATGGATGGTGAAATAAATTTGTATACTGTGTCTTCCGATGGACATGTATTTAATTGGATTCTAATGCAGAACACACTAACAAATTCAAATATAATAAGAATGTTTTTTGCAAACGGTACAGTTCCTGGACCTGACGGTACTGAAATGAAGTTAACGAGCGCTGGTCATTGTATGCGTTTTGATCCAAGTAATCCGGAAATTTTTTTGGTTGGAACCGATGAGGGACTAATTTACAAATGCTCCACTTCTAACAGCTCAAAATATTTATTCACTTACAAAGCTCATTATATGGCTGTTTATCAAATTGATTTTAATCGTTATAATTCCAAAATATTTATATCGTGTGGCGCTGATTGGCGTATCAAAATTTGGGAAGATATGCGACATGAACCACTATTTATATATGATTTAGGCTCATCTGTTGGTGATGTCAAGTGGGCACCTTATTCGAGTACCGTATTCGCAGCTGTAACCACAATGGGAAAAGTTTTCGTATACGATTTAAATGTCAACAGAAACACACCAGCTTGTTCTCAACTTTTAGTACCAAAACGAAAAAATAAGTTAACTACGTTGGTCTTCAATGAAAAATTGCCGTTTTTAATAGTTGGGGATGTTAAGTAAAAATAAAAATATTAAACAATATTATTTTTAAAGCCTTATTTACTTTATCTATTTTTAGTGGCACAATTATTTCACTGAAAATCTCCCCCAACCTACGTATAATGGTCAAGCCACCGAAAAAACAATTGTACTTGACTCAGCATTACTTACAGACGCAAAAACTGGAAAAACTTTTGACGACTGTACGTGAACTTGAAGGTTGTGCCGAAGCCGCTGCAGCTGCGCCTCCTAAACCTTAATATTTCGCGGATTAAAATTATAAATTAAATTAAAAATCTTATTGTTACAATAAAAGATTTGATCTATATTATATTGGAGGTCTTGACTTCTATCGACTTTTATTTCACATTTACTTATTTGCTATAATTAAAATTGCTGTGAAGAGTTAAAAATACATCTACTAAAAGCAGACATAAGATGACACAATAATATGGATAATAAAATGGAGTATGTTTGGTGACCAGAATATTTGTGTCTATGCTTTATATGTCTTAAAAATATTATGTTAGTTTATAGGTTGGTTTATGGGAGTGAACTTACAAGCTTAAGTGTTTGATTGCATTTAACATGGTAAGTGCCAGTTGCAATTATCCGTGCATAGTGACGTGATGTGTGCAGTAAAATCTTCCTAATGGATAAATGAGCTTATGCGTCGGGTTTGGAACCCACCATTTAAAAACACCTTTAAATGAAATCGAAGAGTCAGCCTCAGATAAGGAAATCATTTACACGATTTAAATATATGCCCTGGAGTGTTCGAACTCTTTACAGAGAAGGTGCATCTATACAACTGGTTAATGTTGTCAAAAAATAAAAGTCTGACATTACCGCCCTCCAGGAAATGCGATTGACTGAACAAGGATACTCTAAACGAGAATATTGTGATGTCTACTACAGCTACCATACAACAAAGCACGAAATCGGAGTCAGATTTTCAGTAAGCCGAAGGTTGAGAAATTTAGTCTCAACATTTACATCAATAAAGGAAAGGCTTGCCAAAATCCGAATTAAGATAATATGTTTTTACATTACTCTATTTTGTGCACAGGCCCCAATGGGAGATAAAGATGACGATACTAAGAAAATGTCCCCATCATGACTTCAAAATGGTTGTAGAAGACTTCAACGCAGAGCTGGGAAAGTATTTTTGGTGCTTCCGTCGGAAAGTTCAGCCCTCACACAAAAACTTCTGATAATGGAAGAGGGCTGATTGATTTCGCCGTCGCTAGAAACATCGTTGTTAATAGCACAAGATTCTAGTATCTAAATACCTGATCAAAACAAACGATCTAAAATTGATTACTTTGTGACAGACGAAAGGCATGTTTTCCGTGTCTTGAATGTACGTATTATCCGAGGAACCAACATCGACTCGAATTATTATCTTCTTGCAGCCAAGTTCCGCACACATTTATGTATGATGAAAAAGGTACATAAACAAGCATAGCGAAAGCTAGACGTCGAAAAGCCGCAATCATAACAGGGAGTTAACAACTTCGCTACTCTAGTTTTCCAGTATCTGGGAAAGGAATCTAAAGAAACCAAAATATTCGCACAATGGAACCATGTCCTCCAACTCTATGCATACCGCTGCGGAAGAGCTGGCTTGCTATCACCATAGACAAAGAAACAGCTGTTACAACCAAGATTGTCGTGAAGCTACTGCAGAGTAAGACGCAGCATATCAAGCCACTTTGCGGTCAGCTGCAACACGCGCTGCTTAAGAGCGATATCGGGAAAAGAGAAGGGAAGAGAAACATATTTTTGCGGATTTCCAACTTAAAAAACAAACGAAACAAATAGGTTTTGTGGTAAATGAGGACAAAACAAAGTACTTTCTGTCAAGAAACAAATCTCCTGAGCGTCTTGGGACCTACTTCACAAAAATCATGCTCTTCATATCTCTTCTGTTGCCTATCTTGCTGTATGGTGCAGAAGCTTGGACTATTGCCAATAGAGATGAGAAGGCATTAGAATTATTCGAGAGAAAAATTTCTTGGAAGATCATGCCTTACGCTTTAGCGTCGAGTGTCGAATCAGATGGAACGATGAGCTGTATGAGCTTTATCGCGACATTGATATAGTTAAGGACATAAAAATTCAGCAGCTTCGCTGACTTGGTCATGTCGTACGAATAGACCTACAGGTGAAAAACGCGGTGTGGTGGTCATACATTATCTACTGTGGTGATCATACATCATCTGCTGCATCATCTGTAGACTTAACGTATACATTTAGCATTTAACAAAAGAACATGGTTTTATATTTTATCGAGATGGAGTCGCAGTTCAGAAATGCTGGTATTACAACCGACCAAACGAAGTATGACCACGTAGTCGACAGCTTTGATAGCAATACGTTGAGGAACATTGTAGATATATCTGCGTTGATACAAGATTTTATGAGTTAAGAAAATCGTGAATTAAGGCGTCTCACGCAAGAACGTCAGCTAAGTGATAACAAGTCGTCCCATTTACTACTATCGATGCTTAATTTGACCAATCATGAACGACGGCGTGACGCAGTTGTATCGTTTGCCAAAAGCTGTACGAACGGTCGTCACCATTTCAGACGTCGATTTGGATAAATGTGCACAGTAAGCAGACTTAATTTTGAAAATGGGGAATTATCATTCAGTTTCCGAATTACATACTAGCGCACGAAATACAGGTAAAAACGCAACGGACCCTACGGCCTTTAGTGAATGCCGTAGAATAGCTAAATAAGCAACTAGGAGAGAACGGGGTGTCTCAACAGCAATTCCGTCCACAAAGTAGATCGAGTTCGTGAACTCGTCCAGCAAGCCTGGTAGTCAAATATCCAGTGCTACCTGTTTTAATCTTCAGCAGAGCTAAGCCGAGAACATCTCTTACAAATGTGTATACAGCAAATGGATTCACAATACAAACTTTCGGAAATAAGTTGATGACATTAAATCTAGGTCTGTCTAAAGGAGACCATGAATCAACTACGTCCGGTTCGAGGTTCAAACCATGCCAAAGCAAAAATGTTCATTCAATGAGACCTGCAGACGTGTTCACATGTGTGTTCCTGAGAGACGATAACATGCAAATTCCCTTGAAGTCACCTTACTACGGACCATTAATAATGAAATGGCGTGATCGAAAGACATTAAAGACCTGTACAACTTGTACAAGTCAGCATCAACAGGGTAAAGGCAGCTTACTTCTTGAGCGATGAAACTGAACTAACCACACAGTGGCCGTGACTTGCACTACTTCAATCAAGCTCAGATGCTCAACCAGTGCAAACATCGGAGTCATCCGATTACCTGTCAGATTCACAACGTAAAATCAATTGCATATAAAGTGGCATAGCTTCCGCTCAGCCACTGGTGGGAGAGTAATGTGGCGATCAATATACCAATCATCAGTGAGAAAAGCGCGAACCATCAATGAGAAAAGCATGTGCCTATCAATACAATTGTTAACAACGAACATTCACTTCGTCAAGAAAACAGATTGTAATTGGCTATTTTAGTAATCAATAATTATATTTTATGGTACATTCTATGTATCATCGGATAAACGTTTTCCCGCTTTCCCTTTGTGTATAAATGCGAACAATCCATTTGGTTTTTCCACCATGGTTATATTTTCCATAAATATAGGACTAAATTGGTATAGGAAATAATCTGACCAATTCTATCTCATGGACTAAAATGTAAGGTTCTATTGAAACATTAAGTAAGTGCATTGCATTTATTTGTGTGCGAAGCATTTAGTGATCAGATTGAACTTGTATTGTTTTTTAACTGTCTTGCTTTAAGACAGTTCTATAAGATAGAACAAGTCAGCTGATTGCTTTGGCACAACTAGTCCAATTTTTGTATTTAACATGATTTTTACTTTAAGTAGCTCGTAGAATAAACCTAATATATCTACTATCACTCTACAATCAAATTTTATTGACATATTTCTGTGTTTCTGTATGGGTTTCAAAATAAAAAATGTTTTATAAAAACTTTACTTTTGAAATTAATTAACCCTCCAATATATTCTTTGTTTCATGCGTATATTAGAGTAACAAACACGTTTTACAACACTGGCAAAAATACACGTGTCAATTGTGAAATTTGATGAAGCTTCTTATAAAACTGTCTGACTCAGTTCATAAATATGAACAAAGGCAAGGAAAAAACTGGCGAAAATTTGGAACAATCTTGTGCAGGACGCATGAATCTCACGAATGCTCAAAACAGAGTATTGGTGGTTAAAGTTCCAAAGTATGTAGCACAGAAATGGGATTCTGCGCCATCTAATATAAATGCTGGGAAACTTACGGTAACAAAAACGCATGGACAAAAACCAATATTCGAGTTGTCACTACCACCTGAGGTGGTAGAACTGAAACCAGAAGGAGAAATACCAACTGAATATACACTTGAGGTATCAAATGTTAACGACCAAACATATGGCGTTTTTTCGACCGAAGCAACTGAACAGTTACCGAGTGGATCTGAAAAAGTATCTATGGAAGGAAGTTCAATAAAAAGCTTAGATTGTAGGCCGAAAATAAATAATTCTTATGTAGCATTTAAACGAGAGACAGTACAAAAGGCATCTGGATCAAGTGATGTAGATCATGCCCACAACGTCAGTAATTTAATATAAACATGATTATTAGAAAATAGTGATCACTTATTAAAATATTTTTATTACAGATTGAGTGCCGCAATCGTAAGAAAGCTGAAGGTAAAAAGGCACGTGACGATAAAAATTTTGTAATGGGTTTGCTCTTCAATGCATTCGAAAAGCATCAATATTATCACATTAAGGACTTAGTAAAGATCACGAAGCAACCTATAGCATATTTAAAAGAAATACTTAAGGAAATTTGTAATTATAACATGAAAAATCCACATAAGAAGATGTGGGAACTTAAGAACGGGTATTGTCATTACAAGTCCGATGAGAAAGAGAAAGATGAAAAGTCTAACTCGGACAGTGAATCAGAATAGCACTAATTTTTTATTTTGACTAAGCTAACAGAACTGTGATTAAATTTAATCAGTCATTTTTTTATTGTTGTAATCTAAAGATCTTGAAAATTTAATCTAGTTAAGCTTAGATTGATAATAACATATTTAAAAGCAAAGAAAACATTTCATTACTATGCCATATTTGTTTTTCTCCATTTTTACAGTCACATAAAATCGCCCAATAAAAATTTTAATTATTATATAATTACAAATCGTTTGTTTTTTTTTGAATGTCTTTTTGAAGCACTATTTCTGATAATACCTGCATATGGATCATTCTTTTACAGACCGGACGGATTTTGGCAAAAATGACCTCATGAAATCCGATTTGTCTAAATTTTTATTTATGAGCTCCTTTCATAAAATAAAAAGACCCGTATCTCGGGAAAAAATTTTGTGATTTTTTTCCTAGAAGATATGGTCCCATGGGGTTTT